AACAACATCTGCCCAGCCGCACACCCCCTGCCAAGCTGGCAGACAGCCTTCTGCAGACCCCCCCCACAGCCTTCTGCAGACCCCCCACCCCATCCTCCCCTGCACCCTGAGTTTGCCCCAGCACCGCTGTGCTCAGAGCGAGGCAGCCCCTGCAGCCAGGTCCCCACCTGTTCCTTTGGGAGGGCCAGAGCCAACGTAATCAGACAGCACAGTCCCGCTCCCCACATCATTGCCTTTCATGTTGGTCACCAGGAAGTGATGCCATTCCCTGAAAGGAGAGACCAAAGAACAGTCCAGCCTGGTTACAGCCCCAGCTAAGACACTGTTACCACAAGCTGCTGCTTTTCCATAAGGCTGTCAGCTTGGGGAAATGGGATCTAACAGCTGCCCCTCCTGCTCTGCCAGATCCCCCAGCGGGCACTGCCTGCTGCGGGGTGCAGAGCCTGTCAGAGCAGCTCTGCCATCCTGCCTTGTGGCTTCAGGAAACCCACAGCCTGACCCCCGAGAGCAGGTGCTCCACACGCTTCTGAGCCTGATTCGAGAAGGGTGAGCTGGTCCCAGGTTTAAGACTCCTCTGCTAGGACAGTCAGACCTAATTCCAACTGACACACATACCACATTAGAGCGAGCAGCAGGCACTGTGCTTCTCCAAGCTGGAGCAGACCTTCAAACACCGCTGGCAAAAGCAGCTGCTCCTCCCTGTGCTGTCCTTGTCTCAAGGAGAGATACAAGGACACTGTTTCTATCCCAAACTGCAAACTCACTGCTGCAGCTTAGGCAAAGCACGCTCCTGACCTCCTTCTAAGCCTCTGCTCAGACCAAGAGGGATTCTCCATCTTCCCCAGGCAACCCCCATTACCTGAACTTTGGGTCCTTCCTACTGGGAGCATCTGGGTCTGTGAGAACCAGGGTGTAAAGCTTCTGTGGATCGCAGCCATCCCACTCAATGCTGGTCGGGCGATGCTGGACCTGGAGGCAATGACAGCGTTAGCAGGAGCGCCAGCCAGCTGCACCGCACATGGAGGCCACGTGTCCCCAGCGCAGGCAGCAGCACCCGGGGAGTTCAAGGCCACTGGTGCCAGCTCGCACCCGGCCCACGACACCGCCGGGGCTTCTCCAGGCCGGACCGCGCCTCCCCCGCGCACGAGCGGGCAGCAAAGCCGGGCAGCAAAGCCGGGCAGCCCCCTCATCCCTGCGCACCCCGACAGGCTCCCCCCATGCGACTGTCAGAGCGAAGGCGCCAAAGGGCCCACCCGCCTCCCGCCATTTTACC